CTTCATCTTGAGGTAAATGATTATTTTATTAATTTTTCTTTTAAAATGTTCATTAATGTATAGGTATATAACCTATTTTTTTAAATGTTGATTTGCATCTTGCAATTTTGCTGAACTTTTTCATTAATTTTAAAAGATTTTGTGGAGTCTTTACATAGAATGTTATGTCATCTGCGAACAGACATATTTTTACTTCTTTTCTAATTTGAAAGCCTTTTGTTTCTTTTTCCTGTCTAATTACTCTGGCTAGAATGTCCTGCACTTGGTGAAATTAATTGCAAGAGTGGGTATCTTGTCAAATGTTTTTCTATGTTAAGACTATCATGTAGTATTTGCCTTGCATTTTGTTAACTTGATGTATTACGCAGATTTGTTTTTGTATGGTGAACCATCCTTGTATTCCAGGTATAAATTCCTTATGATCATGGTCTACTATCCTTTTAATGATCCATTGGATTGAGTCTGATAGTATCATGTTTAGAATTTTTGCATCAATATTTATCAGATATATGTGTCTGTAGTTTTCTTTTTTGTGTGTATTTCGTTTCAATATCAGCATAACACAGGCCACATAGAATGAGTTTGATGGTGTACTGTTCTCTGCAATTCTTTGGAAGAGTTTGAAAAGAATTGGTGTTAATTCTTCCTTAAAAGTTTGGGAGAATCCTCCAGAGAAGACAATTGATTTTGAGCTTCTCTTTGTTGAGAAGTATTTGATTTATTTTTCAATGTTATCACTAGTTATACCTTTATTGAGATTTTTCATTTATTTATGATACAGTTTTGGTAGGGGTGGTTGTATGTTCAAATAAGTTCTTGGGCTTGTTTCTTTTTCTTCTCATCTGGTACTTCCACAATGCATGTTTTTCTGCTTAATGGTCTCCAATAATTCCTTTGTACTTTTCATTATTCTTCACATTTTCTTTTCCTTTTTCTCCTCTGGCCCAGTAATTTTAAGTTTTGTCTTTTATTTTGCTGTTTCTTTCTTCTATTTTTTTTCCAAACTGCTATTGAGCCTTTCTAGTGAATTTTATAACTCAGTTATTATAGTCTTCAAGTCTAAAATTTCTATTTGGTTCCTCACAGTTTCCATATCTTTGCTCATATTCTCATTTTGTTTATTCATGATTTTTACTTTGTTTTATTTTGTTTTGATGGGGTTTTTTTGAGACACAGTCTCCCTGTCTTTTTCAGGCTTGAGTGTAGTGGCATAATCATAACTTCATAGCTCAATGCAACCTCAAACTTCTGGGCTGAAGCAATCCTCCTACCTCAGAATCTGAAGTAGTGCTACTACATCTGGTTAATTTTTTAATTTTTTTCTGGAGATGGGATCTCACTTTTTCTCAGCCTGTTCTAGAACTCTTGACCTCAAGTGGTCCTTCTACCTTAGCCTCTTAAAGTGCTAGGATTAGAGACACAAGCTGCTGTATCCAACCCAGATTTCATTTAGTTGTCTAATTGTACCCTCTTGAGCATACTTGATAGTAATTTTTAATTCTTTGTCAATTCCTATAGCTCCATTTCTTTTGATTTAGTTTCTGGACATTTAATTTGTTCCTTTAAGTATGTCAGATTTCCCTGTTTGTTTATGTATCTTTTTCTTATTATTGTTGTTGGAATTTCAGCCCTTTAACATTGGTCATATATTTCAAACTTTGTGGTTTGGTTTTCTGCAGGGAGGCCTTTTCCCACCATCCTGGCTAGAGGTTCTGGAGCTCTTTCTCTCATGCTCTTTTGAGTATGCATTCCTTTCTGTCTCCTCGGGGCTTTGTGTGTGTAATTTTCTATTTAAAAAGTTATGCTTGCTTCTACTCAAGACCCTCTCCCGGTGCCTGCAGTACTGCAGCCTCACTTGTGTTGTACTAAATTATGGCACTGCAGCTCCACCTACTGTCCCTAGTGTCTTTTAGTGGTACTGCAGATTCTGGTACATTCTTGATTGCTTTTCTCCTGAGAGACACTCAACCTATACCCAATTTCTATCAGTACTTGGATATGGGCAAGACAGAAACCAGTCTTTGGGTAGCTGCCCTGGTTGTCAAAACATTGGATATAGGAGATTAAAATGTTCCCTCACAATTATATTGCACAGTTTGTAAGGGGGAAGGATTCTGATTAGAAAGGGTGGGAAAAAAATCTTTACTTTTTATTGTAGGTTTCTATGTGATTGTCTTTATGGTAGCCTGGAAGTACAAGAACCTTGTAATTGGTTTCCTGAAGTTCTCACAGAAACATTTAGTTCATTTTTTGTATTTGCTTATTTATTTATTTTGAGACAGGCTAGAGTGCCATGGCATCAGCTTAGCTTACAGCAACCTCAAGCTCCGGGGTTTAAGTCATCCTCCTGCCTCAGCCTCTGAGAAGCTGGGACGACAGGCACCTGCCACAATGCCCAGCTAATCTTTCTATTTTTATTAGAAATGGGGTCTTGGTTTTGCTCAGTCTAGTCTTGAACTCCTGAGCTCGAGCAATCCTCCCACCTTGGTTTCCTAGAGTGCTAGGATTATAGGCATGAACCATTGATCTGGCCATTTGTTGTTTGAAAATATGTGTCTTATTGGAGGAAAAGGTCCAGGGCTCCCTGTTCCATCATCTGGCTGATGTTACTTCCTCCCGCATTTTGTCATTTCTTATGTTAATAACATGATTTTTTAAATGATTAGGGATTGAACAATTTTCATTACTGTTCTATGACAAAAGACTACATATACTTGTACAAGGTGTCAGAATTGACTTTTCTTGAACAAAATCTTCATAATTTTTTCTAACTCCTATGGGCCAATTCAATATCTTTTTTTTTATGATGTTTGTTCTTCCCACCACCAACTTAGTAAAACTAATTTTGATATCCTCTACCTTATATGCTTTGTTCTTAGATGACTTACTGTATTTTATCAAAAAATTTTTAGCATCTCTAAAATTTTATCATTTAATAGCACTTCCCAAATCCTTTTACTTACTTTGATAGCATATGTCATTTTATAGGTCCTTATGCAGAAAGGAACATACCCACATCTTGAGAGCAATTGAAAATTTTTGTTGGGCCTTTTATATCTGTCTCCTAAGCCTAGCCTAGTGTAAGACACATGAAAAATTCTGGTTGGATAAAAGTTAAATGAGCATTTCTTGAACATGTTTATGTCAGGCACTGTTCTAAGCACTGCAGATATAGTAATGAATAAAATGGACAAAACTGCTACCCTGATGAAGCTAACAGTCTACTGAGGGCAATATACAGTAACTATATAATAAGGTCATGGAAGAAGCCCAAGTGCCCATCAATCCACGAATGGATCAATAAACTGTGGTATATGTACACCATGGAATACTATGCAGCCATAAAGAAAGATGGAGACTTTACCTCCTTCATGTTTACATGGATGGAGCTGGAAAATGTTCTTCTTAGCAAAGTATCACAAGAATGGAAGAAAAAGTATCCAATGTACACAGCCCTATTATGAAACTAATTTATAGCTTTCATATGAAAGCTATAACCTAATTATAGCCTAAGAATATGGGGAGGGGGGAGGGGAGGGGAGGGGTGGGGGGGTGGGCGCGTGGACGGAGGGTGATTGGTGGGATCACCTCAACAAAAGAAAAAAGGAAAAGAAAAGAAAAAGCAAGAATAAAGAACATGAAGTAATGTAACAAACATGTAATGCTCTCAAAGTATAGCAAGAAGGTCTAATGTAGTTGAAGAATAATGAGCAGGACAAGAATAACTGAAGATGAGATTAGAAAGGTAAAAAGGAATATTGGTGGGCAAAGAGAATCAGAGGCTAGTGTAGATCATTTAGGGCCTTGTAGGTTATTGGAAGGACTTGATATTACTATAAGGCATGGTTTCTGTGGCAGCATGATCTAATTTTCATTTTGACAGGATTTCTTTAGTCGATGTGTTGAGAAGAGACTGTTAAGCAGACTGGAGCAGAAGTAGAAAGATGTACCAGAAGGCTGTTGCAACAACTGAGGCTGATGGTAGAGACCACTAGGGGTGCAGAAGGTAGTGAGAAGTGGTCTTCTAGTCAATCCAGGCTGCTAGAACAACATAGACTTGGTGACTTAACAGAAATTTATTCCATTGGCTAGAAAGTCTAAAATCAGGGTTCCAGCATGGTTGGGTTCTGGTGAGGGCCTTCTTCTGGTTTGCAGACAGCTATCTTCTGGTGAGGGCCTTCTTCTGGTTTGCATGACAGAGAGAAAGGGAGGAGGCAGTGGAGGAAGAGGAGGAGAGAGATCTCAATTTTCTTTTTATAAGGGCACTAATCTCATGATGAGGGCTCCACTTTCTTGACCTAAATACTTCCCAAAGGCCTGATATGCAGATACCATCACAATGGAAATTAGAATTCCAAAATGTAAGTCTAGGAGAGGCACAAACATGCAGTCCATACAGGGTAAGATTTTAATAGTGGAACCAAATGAAATTTGCTAATGGATGTGGAGGTAAGCTGAAGGGGAAAGGATGAATCACTACATTTTGTTAAAATTAAATTGAAAATCTCTAACCAATGCATCATAGACTGAATGTTACTCACTTTTTGTTGATCATAGGATTTCTCTTTGCCTCCTTAAAGTTAATTTTTCAGGTGACTTCCTGGAAATGCTACCCCTGAGAATAGACTTCCACTTTCCTCACAAGCTATGCTACTCACTTGAAAACAAAGACTATCTCACCATCATGGCTACCTGAGAACTAGGCCTATCTTCCTAGAAATTAGCTAATGATATCAATTTTAAAATAACAAACTAAACTGTACTGCTCTAATAATCTGATGTTGTAACCAAGTTAGAAAATGATGTTTTATTAGTGCAGTGCTAATAATGTTAAATGGGCTGAGAAAAGTATCAATTGGTATAGGGTAAAATTGGGTATGCTTTTTATGATAAAAATAACATTTTTAAGTAAAGAACAGCTACTTCAAGCCCACACACTGTAAACACTATTCTGTTCTTTGATTAATTATTTTCCCTTTTTTTCTCCTTTTTTTTTTCAGATGTTTTTCTCAGCCCTGTCATACAGCTTTATTGCTAAAGCACTAGCTGGAACTGTTATGAAAAGTTCCATCACTCAAATAGAAAGGAGATTTGACATATCCTCTTCTGTTGCTGGCTTAATTGATGGAAGCTTTGAAATTGGTAATTTATATTTTTTCCTATTTTAATAACCAAACTTTCAAAGGTTAAAAAAGCCCTCTTCATAAATGCTTTACACCAATGGTTCCCGATTATGGTAAATTTATCTCTTGAAGGCAGTTTGGCAATATTTGAAAACATTTTTGGTTATCATAACTGGGTAGAGGATGGGAGAAAATGATACTGGTATCTAAAGCTAGAAGCTAGGAATTCTGCTAAACATTCTTTAATGCACAGGGCTGACCCAACAACCAAGAATCATCTAGTCCAAAATGTCTATAGAAAGGATGTTGGAAAATTTTGATTTGACATGAATGCATTGCTTATAGTTAACAGTTTGTGAGGCTTTAACTTCCCCTCTTCAGAAGCCCTGGTGTGAAGAAAAGGTAGAGAGATGACTATAATTCTTGGATTCAAGGAAGAAGGAATCACTTTGAAGCAACCTACATTAGATTTCTGCTGTTTTAAATGGGGTACAGACTTCGGGGGGGGGGTACAGGCTTCTAGGGGTAAAAGTCTTTTTTTTTTTTTTTTTAGAAAAACTTGTGTTCATTTTAATTTGGATTTCTCCAACAAAAGTGAGAGTTTACATAATTATTTGATATTATTTTTCTTATTTTATGAAATGATAGCTTATTTCCTCTGCACATTTTTTCTTTTTTTCACTTTTTAATTATTTGAGAGACCCCCATAATTATATCTATTGTGTAGGTACCAAATTTTTTCTATAAACTTTCTGTTTATCTTTTAACTTCATTTAAAATATTCTTAAGTCATAAGCGTTTAAAAAGCAATTGTTTAAAGGAAGACCTTTGTATCTTTTCCTTATGAATTCTGAATTTTTGTGATTCAAAAAATATTGCACCATACGTGTCCTTCACTCTCCCATCTCACAGGCTTAATGAAAGCATCTAGAATTTTAGAATTAGAATGTTGTTCATTTTAAATTTTAATTCATGGGACATCTCTTTTTATTGAGAAATTTATTATTAATAGTTTTACAAAATTTTGCGATTGTTTTAACCAATTATTTAAACCCCATTATGTTTGACTGATTTCTTTGCTTACCTATGTTCCAGAATCTTTTTACTTCCAGTCTCATCTTTGGTTTTCTTGGAGTCTATCTCCAAGTAGAGTCAGCCTTCTCTATCTGTGGGTTCCATATCTGTGATTCAGCCACCACAGATGGAAATATTCAAAAAATATAAAAATAAAGAATGGCAATATAACAATAAACATACTACAAATTAAAAAGCAATACAGCATAACAACTATTTACATAGAATTTACATTGTATTAGGTATTATAAGCATGTAAGTAATCTACAGGTAATTTCAAATGTACAAAAGGATGTGTGTAGACTATTGATGTATACTATGCCATTTTATAGAAGGCACTGGAGCTTCTGCAAATCTCCATATCTTCTGGGTGTCCTGAAACCAATCCTTTGTGGACAGGAAGGGATAATGGTAATTTTTTTTCCAGAAAGAATTGAACATGTGGCATATTTGATAAACCCTTGCTTATTGGAAAGTATATTTACTTTACTATCATGTTCAAGTGATAATTTGGAGATAGAATTAAAACTCAATCTTTTTGTCAGAACATATAGCTATTGTTTTATTACATTTAAGGTTGTGCATAAGAAATTAGTACAAGTATAATTCTCATGCACTAATAAGCATCTGTTTTTTATTTCTGAATCTCAGAAAATTTACAGATATATATCGAAGATGGTCGTCTTTTACATTACATGTAGAAACTTCCATGTGAACTTACTTTCTATTTCTTATTTGTTTCATCCCCTGGCCTTTTTAATTTCTTTCCTTCAGCAACATATATGAGTTGAATATTGTATGGGAGTCATTTTTCCCTTTAAATTTTTTCTTCTAAATTTTTACCTTTTTTTCTTTATGTTTCATTTATTTTCTCAGATGCCACATTCCATCTTATTATATCAAGTTCTAATTTGTTCATTTTTCCATAATATTTTAAATTTACAACAATACTTTATTGTTTTCTTGTTATTTTCAGTCTGCCATTCTGATTTCATGGGATGTGACATACTATTGTACCTCTACAGATAGTTAATACTAACTGGATTTGTTTTTAATTTTCTACTTTTTTAAAGTTTAATCCTTATTGAAGTATTTCTTGTGTTACTTTCTCTGTTGATTCATTTGGGTACTTTTCATGCTATTTTTTCCATCATTATTCAGTAATTCTTGATTGCTGTCTCTCATGGTTATACATGAGACTCCAGATGGATCAGAACTGGTTGTGACTCCTCCTCTTCTTTATAACCTAAAAAATTTATACTCATAATTAAATCATAAGTGGACTCTCATCTAAAGAACTTTCCTGAAGTCCCATAATTAATTTAAGCTATCCCTTTCTGTGGTCTAATAGAACCTCTGTGTATCTGTTACTTTTTATCACTAGTATGTAAGTTTCTTGAGGACAGGTACCATGTTTTTGGTTTCTATTTTATATTTCTTTTTTTGTTTCTGTTTTAATATTTCTTTTTTGGTTTCTGTTTTAATATTTCTGGCTCTGAAACCCATGGTAGGTACCTACAATAATAGAAATTTAAAGAGTGGCATGAATAAATAAATCAGTGCATGTTTGACTGACTACCTTTCCCTCAGATCAGAAAGATTTTTCCCCGTTTTTCTCCATTCCAATCACTTCAACCCAGTTAACTCCAAAATCTTTGATAAAATTTACTTCATTAATATTGTCAAATAATTCAAGCACTTTCTCTTATTTATGAAACCTATTCTACTTACTATTACTGTGCAACTTTTCAATGGTGGTTTAATGCAGATGAATTCAAATTCTCAATTAAATTACGTGGTTTTTGAGAGAAGGTCTTGGGCTCTATTTGTGTTCATTGTGGGGCTTTCAAATATACTAGACACAAAATTGGACTAAATCAGATCAACATAATTCTCTTCTTTTTCTAGGAAATTTGCTTGTCATTGTGTTTGTAAGTTACTTTGGATCCAAACTGCACAGACCCAAGTTAATTGGAATTGGTTGTTTAGTTATGGGAACTGGAAGTATTTTGACTGCCTTACCACATTTCTTCATGGGATAGTAAGTGTTAATTAACTTTATGTCATTAATTATCATTTGTTTATAAAGTAGTAGTGGAATTTCATTTTTTCCTTTTAAATAGGCAGTCAACTTTTGAGAAGAATAGCCACTAAGTATGTATAGAAATGGAGAATATTGTCTACATAATAATAAGTTATTGCTTTATTCATTATGGTTTTCATAGTTTTTCAAATAAGAATAACACTAGACGAGGTATACAGTTTCATACAGAGTAAATAAGCTCTTTATCACTTTTTGGTATAACATAATATACTTCACATCTTTGCCTATAAAATTTCGATTATACTCAGTAAGATTTCACCAGGTAACCCATTGGCATAGGTTTTCCCACCACCATTTCACTGAGGTGGTTCTTAGTGTTACTGTGTAGTTATGATTACAGTCAGATGATCATGAGAGAAAACTTAAAGTAGCAATGGCTTAAATAAGATGGATGCATATTTTTCATATAAAAGTTAATGTAGCCAGTCCAAAGACTATATGATATGGTTTCTTTTCATCATATTCATCTCCCTTGCATTGCCTTGCCCTCGAGGTCCGAATTACGGCAAAGTGTTTCCAGGTAACAGGAAAGAAGGAGAAAAATTAAAAACAAAGAGTACACCCAGGCTGAGGCTTAGGAAACATTTTCGAAAGCAACACTTCTGCGTACTTCACATTGACCAAATGTTAGTTGCATTTTACACAAAAATTAATAAAAAACATTTAAAAATGGACTTTTTTCCAAGTTGCCATGTTCCTAGTAAAAAACCCCAACTTAAAATACTGTGAAGGAGAGAAATAAGGATATTGAGGGACAATGAGCAGTTCCTACCAGAGATACCAATTACTTACTCATTGCCAAATCTGGCAATCACCTTTTCATCACAATATAAATTCTATATTTTCCCTATATTTGACTCTTACAAAAATTTTCTTTTCTGTGGTACTTCTTCTTATTTTCATCATTGCCCACTCTCTGGATTCATTTCCTGTCTTCATGGCCTCTTCTATTCATGTCCATTTTTTGCTTTTGTCATTGACCCCATAATGTGAGAGTCCCTTAAATTCCCTTCTTACTCTTCATGGTTCGTATGTAGAACATGCTATAAATGCAGCCACCGCAGCTCCAGACAGAGGAGGACCATATTCTAGGCCTGCCGTTCTCTAAAAGTGCCATAACATGTCACACCTTTGCCCTGGTGTTTCTACAGTCTTGAATACTTTTCTTCCTTTGTCTGCCCATTAAACTCCTGTCCATCATCTTGTTCCATTTTACAAGTCATTGTTAGTGTGAAGCTTCTCTGATCGACCCTCCTCCACCTCCAAGCACAGCTAATTAATCCTTTTTCCTTGATGACAACTCGGTACCTTGTATATTGAACGTATTCTATCTGTTATCATAATACGTTTATCTTAGAGAGCATGAAATTCCCTAGGGACAACACTGTGTGTTTTATTTGTAGCTCTTTGAAACTGAACTTAACACCTGACATTCAGTAGGATGCCTCTGAAGCTCACAGGATATCTCAGTGTTTGGGGGCGTGTCAACATTTGTCTCCATTCTGGTTCCCTCTCTGTTGTTTCCATTTAGTTCTGCCTCAACAAGTTGAAAAGGATTAGAATTTTAAAAATAAGTTTCAAAGAGTTGGGTATCGGAAAGAAACAATGTCTATGAAAGAAAATCAGACAGATTGGCTATCTCTGAAGATAATCCAAAGAGATAAATAGAAACAGTTAATGGTTTTAATCAAAGTAGAGGAAACCAGGATATTTCATAACATGGCCAGAGTATAAGCATGCCCGGGATTATCACAAAGTGATGACCCACCTCATCAGGGGACTGTTGAATGAGCTTTCTAAGTGGACACTCCCTTTTCACTTTTGCCCATTACCTCTCTCAAAATACAGGCTGAGAAACTGACAAAGAGGATTCTGGTAACTGGGAGAAAAGAGTGGTGTAGATAAAAGGGAAAATCTCTTGGTATTTCTAGGAAAAGTGAAAATATTCAGTAGATAAATAAAATGTTAAACCAGTGATGTTCTTATAGTTACAGGTATTCTAGAGAAACCCATATTGACACATCAGAAAATTCAGCATCAAGCTTAGCGACCTGTTTAATGAATCAAACTTTACCATTCAATACAACCTCACCTGAGATACTGGGAAAAGGTAAGAATTAACAGTGATAGTAAAAAATACACTGAAATTTATAAATTTAATTACATCTATACAATTATTGTACTATGTATGAGCAAAATTGATTTTAAAAATAGGAAAAGCCTTTGACCCTTCCAGGCATACAAAATCATAGTGGTAATAATAAACATAGTTGCCCCTTGAACAACACAGGTTTGAACTGTGTGCTTCCACTTATATGCAGATATTTTTCAACTAAACATGAATCAAAAATACAGTACTCATATGATACAAAACCTGCAAAACCAGGCATGGTGCCTCATGCCTATAATCCTAGTACTATGTGAAGTTAAGACAGGAGGATGACTTTAACACAAAAGTTCAAAACCAGCCCACACAAGAGAAATACCCCTCTCTACTAAAAATAGAAAAAACTAGCTGTGCATGGTGGCCGGCAACTGTAGTTCCAGCTACTCAGGCACTGAGACAGAAGGATGGCTTGAACCCAGGAGCTTAAGGTTGCTGTAAGTGTGATAATACCATGGCAATATAGCCTGGGCAAGAAGGTGAAGACTATCTCCAAAAAAAAAAAATCCCAAACTCCCCAAAAGCCACCTGGGTATTTTGAGGGCCTATTTTCTGGTACATGGGTTCCACAGGGCCAAATGTAGGATTTGGCTTCATCTAAATTTGGGTACACATGGGTGGTCCTGGAACAAATTTCCAGTGCAAATGGAGGGATAACTGTATTTTATATAAAGAGTAGATAAGAAAAGGAGAATGATTTTAGTAGAAAATTATCAAATATCATGCACTTAAAATAAAAAAGCACAATGGGGAACAAATAGGTAAATAGTGTAAAATTTGCTCTTTATGAGCAATGCAAAATATTATACCAACTAAAAATCTTTTACCTATTATAACACAAATCATAAATAATTATTACAAAGTATAATGCTAATTTTTTTCCTACGTATTAGATAAGAAAAGATTAAAAACAAAAAGAAATCAGGTGGAGAAGAGATTATAGGGTAGACATAAAGTTCATATGCAATTTTAAATAGTTTAACACAGTAAATTATACACAAACTTGACGTCCACCCTGTATTATACATTGCCGGAAATGCATACATTTGTAATCTTTTCTGGAGGTTAATTTCTAATATATATTAAAGAACAAAAATATATTGACCTACTTGACTTATCAATTCTACTTTTATTGATTATTTTAAAGAAACAACCAGGAGTGTGCTAAAGAGTCATTTACAATTATAGCCATGACATCCTTGTTTAACAGAATAAAAATTTAAAAATATTTTGCAATTTAAAAATTAGAGATTTAATAAATTACAAATATAAATAAAAATAAATAAATATAAAATAAATAAATATAAAAATAAATAAATATAATTAAAAATAAATTCAATATATAGTCATTCAATTTTGATATAAAATAAATCTTAAAGGGGAAATTTTGTAATATACTGATAATTGTATAAGCATATTATAATGTGAATGGGATATTTAAGTATATAATGTACATGATACATATTATGCATATTTTTGTGCAGTAACAATGTGGAAGATGTTTAACAACATTTGAGGCAAACTTCTGTACGTAATGAGCTTACAGATAACATTTTAATTGTTTTTTGGTGTGTGCTTCTCTGTATTTTCAAACTTTGCAAAGTAAACGTGAATCAAGTATAATTAGAAAAAAACTAAATGAAGTAATTCAGGATTTAAGTTGGCTGAATTTCTAATAGGAATGCTAAAACTAATGTTTAAAATAAAACACTCTCTTGTCTATATAGGTTGTGTAAAGGAATCAGGGTCACACATGTGGATCTATGTCTTAATGGGTAATATGCTTCGTGGAATAGGGGAAACCCCCATCACTCCATTGGGGATTTCTTACATTGATGATTTTGCTAAGGAAGGACATTCTTCTTTCTATATAGGTAATGTACAGAAAATCTTACCTTATGTGATTACTTTCCCTGGGCATAGCATTGAAATAACACTATTACTAAGTTCATTCTTTTACTTAATAGAAAAATTATTTGGAGAAGTGAATTATGTAATATTACTGTATAAAATATGTTGAATAAGACCCAGGAATCCCCGTCAACTGTCAAAAGTTGTTCTGTTAATATTTTCAGGTTGTTTGAATTCAATAGCAATGATTGGTCCAATCATTGGCTTTATACTGGGATCTCTGTGTGCTAAACTGTACGTGGATATTGGATTTGTAGATCTGAGTAAGTACAATCAGAACAAGTTGTCATGATAGTGTCATTTTAGTACAGGGCAGAATTCTTCCAAATAATTGAATTCACTCTTTCAATAGTCCTTAGCTCAGTATCTTTCAAAAGTTATAAGTAGGAAATAAATGCATTCATAAGAAGAATGAAAAATAAAATTCAGCTCCTTTTTATATCTTGCTTTTACAAGTATAAAAGGAGAGAATTTTAACAAACTTATTTTAGATTACCTAATCCAAAATAACCAAATTTAAAATTTCCTCTCCTATAACTGACTGCCCAGTGAGGTGTACTGTATTTTTCTATTCAGGCTTCTGCATTTTATGTCTGGCGTGGTTTGAGAGACTCCACTGTGTACCTTGGTTATAAGCAGGTCTTTGCAGAGGGCATGGCATATGGCAACATTTAATTAGTGCTCATTGCACAAATGAAAGAAGGAGCAGACACAAAATGACATCCACAATCTTCCTCCTCACTCTCAGAGCTTGTTTTCCTTCTTAATTCATAGAAGAAATAAAGGTCATTATAAAATCTTCAGGCTTTCCTCTGACAAATATTCCTGTGCCATATCTATATTTCTCTTTCCCACCTCAATGAAAAAGGTATTTATCTTCACTCAATATTCATAGGTACACTTGGGGTTTAGACTCTCTCTTCCTGCCTCTTCCGAGAGCTGGTACCATTAATTCTTGGCCAGATACATCCTGCATCCTCCAACCCCTGTATCTCTGCCCTTCTCTGTTGCTGAAGCAAACATACTCAACTCCTTCCAATCTTTTTTTTTTTTTAATATATGAACAATTTTTTTATGACCTCCCAAACAACTTTCCGGGTAAATTTCTGTTTTTCCTTTTCTCTCCAGAGCTAAGCAACTAGAAAAAAATAATCTAAATTAAATGTCTCACCTTCTTACCTCCCACCCATCTCTCAATCCACTATAATCTTTCATTTACCACTGATGAAACATAATCAATTTCTATCTAGATTTACTGATCCGAATGAATACTTTTCTATAATTTTAATTGGTATTTCTAGTTATACCTTATTTTTTCTTCTTACATGTCTTATAAGCACTTGGAATGCAACAGATCAAACTCTGGGCTTATCATTTTACCCAACCCACCTTATTCTCTATATTCCCTCTCTAGATGAATATCTTAACCTTAATTCAATTACTGCAAAGCCTTTCACCCAAACTCTCTGCCTCTAGTTTTGCCCATTCTTATTCATATTGCTTCCAGAATAATCTTTCTAAGCAAATCTGATCCATATCATTCCTTGTTCAAGATCTTTCAATGGCTTCATGCTGTGCATAAAGATAAGAGCCAAACTCCTAAGAATGACACGCATGACTCTATGATCTTTTTCACCATTTTTATGATTGACCTCTCTTCTTTCCTTCTCTTTAACAATATACAACATTCCTTATGTCCCAGCCATGCCACACAGGTCTTTTGATATGCCCTGTAATCTTACACTTCTCTACATTTACCTACACTTTTTTTTAAGTCTTTTTTTTTAATTAAATGATAGCTGTATACATTAATGCAAACATGGGGTACAGTGTAGTGTTTTCATATACATTTTGAAATACTTTCATCAAGCTAGTTCATATAAATTTCATGTCATTTACCTACACTTTTTTGTTTTCTCTCTTTTTCATTTGCATACTTCCTAAATTCACTTCCAAAATGCGGCTCCTCTTCAGAGAAGCCTTACCCCACCATTAGCCCCATCAGCTCCAAACTGGGTATTCCTATCAATCACCAAGAACGTGGCTTTGTAGTAGCCTTTATCACAGTGAGCCATAAATATTTGTGTACTTACCTGCCAGCTCTTCTAGACCATCACAGAATGGTATCTGTCTAACATATAATAAGTGATCAGTGTTTGTTAAAGTACAAATATGATTTTCTATCTCACCAGGATGTCAATAGATCACTCCAGAGATACCAAAGGATTCATTTCCAAAATGAAATAGACCTTATGGTAGGCCAACAGTAGTCACAATAAATATTTAGCACATTGATAGTTACCAATTTAACCACTTATTTCCTGAAGTCTGTCCATGTTGTTGATTATTAAGTAATATGATCATGTTAATAAATCTTAAACACAGATCTGTGCATACTTAAAAATAATAGCTTATTTCTATATAGTTTTAAATCAAGTCAGTGTTTTCTCATGTTAATGAGGTTTTTCATAGGTTAAAGAATAATGACACCATTAAATTGTGCTTCAAACTTTCATGGTGTGTGTATGTATGTGTGCATATACTTTTTTATGATTTTTATTTTATTGTGGTAAGAACAATTAACATGAGATCTAACCTCTTGATAGATTTCAAAGGTTCAAGTGACCTCTAAACAATACAGATTTGAACTATGCATGGTCACATATAGAGAGATTTTAAAAAATAAATATATTGGGCATTAGTCTATTTCACCATTTACTACCACAAAATATACATGAATCTATTATAAAAAGTTCAAATTTATCAAAATATATGCACAGAAAATACTGATATGCATGATGCCATTGTCAATAAAGAGAAATGCAAACTAACATAAAGATGCAATATTATAGGAAAATAATTCTAGTCTATATTTAGAATCAAAAAAGAGTCTAAATAGCCAAATCGATCTTAAACAAAAAGAAAAAATCTGGTGGCATCATCTTACCAGACTTCAAACTATACTACAAAGCTACAATAACCAAAACAGCATGATTTTTGTACAAAAATTGATGTAAACTAATCAATAAGAATTAGTAAGAATTCTAATTCTATTCTATCCAAATATATCCACAGATTCAATGTGACACCTATCAAAGTCCTCATGCAAGATGAATAAATTCTAGAAATCTGTTTACACTAATTCTTTTTTGATCAACTGATGGAAGACCAAAAAAAAAAAAAACAAAAAAACCCAAATTTAAAACCATCTATCTACAACCAACTTATCTTTGACAAAGCACACAACATACACTGGGGGAAAGTGGCCCTATTCAGTCAACAGTACCGGGAGACTTGGACAGTCACATGTAGAAAAATGAGGCAAGACCCCTCCCTCCTACCACTTACAAAAATTAATTCAAAATAAATAAAAGATTTAAATGCATTGCATGAAACCACAACAATTCTAGAAGAAAATACAAGAAAAATTCTTATAAATATCAGTGTAGGCAAAGAATTTATGACTAAGACCCCAAAGGCAACTACAGCAACAACAAAAATAAAGAGGACTATTTTTTTTTTTTTTTTGCACTTTGGCCAGGGCTGGTTTTGAACCTGCCACCCTCAGTATATGGAGTCAGCACCCTACTCACTGAGCCACAGGCACCACCCAATAGTACTGTCTTTTAAAGTATTTTATATTGGATAATTCCCCTGATCACCCAAAGCCCCATGAATTCAACACCAAGGGCATTTCCCCCAAACACAACATCCCTAATTCAGTCTCTAGATCAGAGATGAAGGGGTATAGAACTTTAACATATCCCTTCATTTATTGAGGGGATTTATTGAAAGGATTGTCAATGCCATAGAGGAGAACACTGGTAGAGACAACGTCATAAAAGTCTAGAAGCATTACACCACTGAACATGCAGCACTGTGTAGAAAAAAACACAAAAACCATTAGGCCCCACAATTTAAATTTCTTCTGGAGAAAACTGGCTGGAAGTTGTGCTTGACTTCACAGGATTCACAATGGAGCCAATCAAGGAAATTATGAAAGAGATTGTAGATATGGCACACACACCAAAAAACCCTCACTGTTCAAAGGTCAACCATATGATGCAGTATGTTGAACTGTAGCCAAAATGTTGTACAGCAGATTTCTAGAATTTATTCATCTTGCATGAGGATTTTGATAGGTATCACATTGAATCTGTGTATATATTTAGATAGAATAGAAATTTAGTGTTATCAAGTTTCTCAGTCCATGAATGTGAGATGTGTTTCCCATTGTTTGTGGCTTCTTTAATTTCTTTCACCAATGTTTTGAAGTTTTCAGTGTATAAATCTTTCATTTCATGGAGGGTACAAAGAATTAGTCTACACTAATTGCATTTGTTAGGAAGTCCCTCTTATAATTATGTTCCACCCCCAAGAGGTGTGCCATACACTGTAACCACCCATCCCCTGATTAGTGTATAGAGATACCACTATTTCTTATGGTGATTTTGTATCTGCAACTTAATTAAGAGAGCTTAATTCCTTTACATTTAGAGTGATTATTGATGGGGAAGGAGTAACTATTGTCATTTTGTTAATTGTTTGTTTTCTATTTATCCTAGTATTTTCATCCCTCTTTGGCTGTCTTCCTTTATAATTCATGATTTTTTTTTGTATTGGGTTGCTTTGGTTCTTTTTTTTTTCCTTTTTTTTTATAACTTTTATAGATTGTTTTGGGGCTAACTTGAGACTTACTTAAAATACAGCAGTCTATTTTAAGCTGATAATAACATCAATTGCATACAAAACCTTTATATTTACTAACACAAGTTATCTTAAGGAGGTTGCATTTACATTTATTTATACCGTGTACCCTCTAATGTATTTTTAGATATACTTACTTTTTAGGATTTCACCTCTTAATTTTTATATCAGAATTAAAATGATTTACTCTGCACCAATACAGTAACATAGTATTCTGTATTTGTCCATATAGTTAACTTTATCAATAAGTTTCATACTTGTCATGCCACCATATTGCTATTTATCATCCTTTTATTTCAAGTTGAAGAATTCCCTTTGGTGTTTCTTGTAAGACAGGTCTAGCACTGATACTCTTCCTCAGCTTTTATTTGTCTAGGAAATCTTCATCTCTCCTTCCTTTCCTTTAAAGAATAATTTTAATGAGTATAGTTATTTTCAGTTGAAAGGTTTGTCTTTTCTTTCAGCATTTTGAATACACTCTTGATGGTATCCCATAGTTCTTAGGCTTCCTTCATTTTCTTTCATTCTTTTCTTCCTCTGACTCAATAATTTCAAATAATCTATCTTCAAATCTGTGGGTTCTTTCTTCTGCTTTCTTTAGTCTGTTATTGAACTCCTGTATTGAATATTTTAGTTCAGTGTTCTTAAGCTATGTATTCTTCAGCTCTAAGATCTTTGATCGATTTCGTTAAAATTTTTGATCTCTGTTGAAACTCTCTCTGTATGTATGCATTGTTCTTCTGTGCTTATTGAACAGTTTTATGATGGTTATTTTGAATTCTATGTCAGTTTACTTACATATATTCATTTCATTAGGCTCTGTTTCTCAAGTTTTTCTTATTCCTTTCTTTGGATCTTGTTTCCCTGTTTCATTTTTCATGACTATCTATGCATCTACCTTTCCAACTCTTCATGGAATGGCCTTATACAGTAGAAAATATTCATTCATCAACCCAGCCAGAGCTTCTGTGGGCCTCTAGAATCTTCATGCTTGTCCAAACTGTAGTCTTTTTCTGAGGAGCCCCCAGACAGCTAAAATGTGCAGGATCCTATCAGCACTTTTACACAGTTGAAACAGAAGCCATTCCCACGATCAATTCCCAGAAAAGTTTGGACTTTTGGCATACCATCCAATTCTTTTCCTTCCCAGGGATAATTTAGGAACCAAGGGTTTTTGCCTCCTTAATATATATAAATCTGGGATCTGGGAGGAGATATGACATGTCCTCATGTACTAGTTTACCCTTTTTGTTCTTTGTAGCCCCATCAGGGTCCAGCATATACCTGGCCCCAAAAAGGCAAGATAAAGCCAGTTCATTGATTAAAACGTAGAAAGCATAAAATCTTTCCCTACCACAGAGAAACTGAGAGCAAAGTTTCTTTGTTTTGTTGCCTGCTAACTTGATATGAGGTTGAGGGAAGGAGCTATGTTGAGTGTCCACATACAAGTTCTGACTGCCACATTTTTTCTCTGTAGCCCCCAGAGGTTTAGGATATGCTTAGTCCTTTGAGATAGGTGACATAGGAGCCTTTCCCTTGGGTAACACCTGTAAAAGTTGCCATGTTGGATTATAGTCCAACTCTTTCCCTCCCCAGGAAGAAGCTGGGAGTTGTTTTGTTTTATTATTTCCCACTCACTGTGTGTTAAGCCAGTGGGAATAGCTGTGGCAAGTGTCCACACACTAGTTCAAACTGCTGTTCTTATTATATGGCACTATGCTGAGTAGAGAATTATGTAAAAGGGTGTCTCCAATTTATTTCCCAGTCTCAATATGTCTGATTTTTCATTTTCATGAAGTATAGGAACCTCTCAACTAGTTTCTGGATTTCTCACAAATAGAATAGATATGTGTATTGCTATTTAATCAGTGTGTTGGTGGTGAGAGGGAGGAGTTCAGTGCTTCCTATTCTGCTATCTTGCTGAGAGGTATACTTTCTTCTTACTTAGAATGTTTATCTTATACCTACTAAAATAGCTCATTTATACTCGAGATGCAGTATTTACATATTACTCCTATGCATGCTTTAAATGAGAATGTATTTGAAATAAAATAGTTAGATCATCCCTGATATTTAGAGTTAAACTCTCCTAGGTTACTTTTAAACATGAATTTTTATTGTGTGTATTTTTTTCATCCTCTGCACTGTCTACAGAGATGGAGATGCAGGTTTCCTGTGGGAGGCCTTTAATGGGCTCTGAGGATTTCTTGCGAACTACCTTTGTTTAAACCAGACTAAAAATATCAGTTCTTTTTAAGCCAAAGAATGTATATTCATTTCAATATTATATAATGTAAATCATAAGAGTTAAAAGGATTGTGTTATTTCATTCATTCATTTATTCAGCAAAAGGTGCTTTTATGACTTCACCAGGCAGTACCATATACATTTTCAGACAAGAATGAGGTGAGGATTCATATTCTGTCCATAAATAGTTCTTAAATGCTCTATAGGCTTCAATGTCCAATGATGTCAGTTGTCCAGTTATGTATTCCAAAAAGTCACCAATTTCCACATTCTCAGGCAATGACAACAATGTCATGACTGATTCCTTAACAATACCAGTTGCAAGGTGTTATCCAATGTTAGACTTATCTTGGATTCAGAGATGGAAAAATGTGAAAAGAAAGAAACATTATAGAATTTATAAATATAATTGATTTTCTTCCTCTATGGAGAAGAACAATTGTGACCATTGTTTCTCAGAGCTTACTATTTTCACAATGATTGTTGATTGGTTTTTTTCTAATTATTTATTCTAGGCACTATCAGAATAACTCCTAAAGACTCTCGTTGGGTTGGTGCTTGGTGGCTTACTTTCCTAGTGTCTGGACTAATATCCATTACTTCTTCCATACCATTCTTTTTCTTGCCCAAAAGTCCACATACACCACAGAAAGAAAGGAGAATTTCAACATCTTCGCATCTGCTCAAAACAGAAGAAGAAAGGAATCAGTCTGCTAATTTGCCCAACCATAAAAACAGTGTTGCCGATAGTGTGACTGGTGAGTATTTTATAGTCATAGTCAACTTGAAATCGTTAATTTTAATGAAAGGGGAGGCTATGTACTCAACAACAATAAATCTTTCCCAAAACATATGAAATTAGCTTTCATCTGCACTAAATTTGGCTGAATTATTTTTCTAGAAATCGTATTAAAATTAGTTAGATTACATAAAAAATATGAAGAGGATATAGTTTGTGCTCTTTAGCAGGGAGAAAATAACCAAAGCCTAAAAACATCTATTCTTTATAAGCCAAAGAATGTGCATTTATTTTGATATAATATAGTATATTATCAATATTTAATAGTATAGGGTTAAAGAATTATAATATTTGATTAACTCATTTATTCCACAAATGATGTATTATCTTTTAAATACGTTTTTAGGTTGATTTGCTCATTTTTTTTGAGGGTTTGTGTGTATATATTCATCAGGATATTGATGTACAGTTTTCTTTTTCTGGGTGTCTTTCTGTGGTTTGGGTATCAGGCTAATATTAGTCTCATAGAATGAATTGGAAATAATTTCCTCCCACTCTTCAATATTTTGGATCAGTTTCAAGAGGATTGGTATTAGTTCTTAATATGTTTAATAGAATTCAGTTTTGAGTTCATCTGTCCTTGAGAATGTTTTTGATGTTATTGGGAGATGTATTGTAGCTTTGTCCAGGAGTATATTTCTTTCTGGTTCAATCTCAACAGGATTTATGTTTCCAAGAATTCATCTGTTTCTGGTTTGAGGGCATATAGTTGTTTATAATAATTTCTGATGACCTTTTATATTTCTGTGGCATCAGTAGTAATGTCTTTGTCTCATTTTTAAACAATAATGTTTTAACAGCAATTTTCAGATTGAAAGAAGTGAAGAAATAGTCAAAACCAAAGCAGTGCAATCTCTACCCTCAAAGCAAAATTTTCAAGTTTCATCAAAGTCAGATTACAAATTTTCATGTGTAGCCTAAGGTTTTTCTTTCATTAGTTCTTCCAGTTATCCATTTTGTTATTTTCTCTGCTCCATGGTGCTAAGTCAAGAGTAATAAATAGTGTACTGGAGCTCATGAGAGAGGATTGTTAAATTTCATTTATACTGGTAGCTTGAAATTGTCCATAACAAGAGAATTTGTCATCATTTACTACCATGGACTTTAGGAAATACTACAAATTAGGGTGTGTTTCCCCAAGAGTCAGTTAGATATTTATCAGTGCACAACTGAATTAAAAGTTTTTATAATTTAACAGGCACACTAAAAATATCATACCGAGAAATTTTTATTTTGTATATACTATGCTTCCACTCTACCAAATAAAATTACAAAATCTAATGGATTGTCTAAGTTTATAAGGGCCAGGGTTGACTGTGAGCCCACCAAAAATGGAGAAGATAATGAAGATACAAAAATAGGACAACTGCAAAAATCATCTATATTATCAACTATGTTTTAGGATGGTGACCTGCCTAGTAGAGAGAACCTTAGTTATGTGCCTAATGGGAATGCATAAAATAACTAACAATATGGAGTCAGAAGAAAAAGGTTGTAGGCAATGATTCTTGTACTAATGATATGGCAGTTAGTTGTAATAACAGTCATGCTATTGAGACACAGCATCATTATCTCCAGTCCTTTCGTGCATCTTGAATAGGTGATGTATACTACTACCAGGATTTACTGATGCTGTGTTTTATGACAGAAAAGCTATATATCAGGAAACAAAAGGTCCGAATCCTCATACTAAATTGATATTTCAGATTTTTGAACCTCTATGTTCTTATTTCTGTGACCTTTAGATACGCTATCTTTCTTAACTTTATGTTTAATAATTATATTATTGCTATAACAATTACACTATTAAATCCTAACGAATAAGGGACACCATATGGCTCACTCAATTTTGTTTCTTGAGCACTTAGTACGCTGCCTGGTATTCCATGAAAAGCCAAATATTTACTGAATGAATAAATGAGTGATTTAATATGTATGCAGCAGTATGGTAAAGTGCAAGGGGAACTAAATAGTATTAAGTGAACACAAAGCCTGATACAAAACAGCATTTATGTGTGATCCTATTTGAGGGTCAAATGAACTAAATAGAGAAATATTAAGGTATGTGTGGAAAATATTGAAGGATTATTATAAAGCTGTTAAAAGAGAGACTGTGGGGTGCTATTCATTTCTGTTATGTCTTTGTGCAATTTTAACATATTTGTAAGATTCAGATATTGATGTATATTTATGTCAAATCATAATGTTTTGTTCATTTTCATAATTTCATAGGTTTTCTCCAGTCTTTGAAAAGCATCCTAACCAATCCCCTGTATGTTCTATTCGTAACTTTGACATTGTTACAAATAAGCAGCTTTATTGGTTCCTTTACTTACGTCTTCAAATACATCGAGCAACAGTATGGGCAGTCGGCATCTCACGCTAACATTTTGTTGGGTAAGACATAGGTTTTTACTTGTTTGCTTGATAAACTATTCAGACTATGAACTATTATTCAGACTACTGAATCATTGTGTTCCAAGTAGTATTGTATGGTGATGGCAATGTCATGGCTTAGTAAGCATCATTTCCTTTCATTCTTTCTCAAACTTTATCAAATTGGTCAATCTCGTGATGGCATCATTGTTCCACATTTGAAATTGCATCTTATGTCACACCAAGTATGAGTTCCCAAAGGAAAAGTTGCATGTGAATGAAACATTTGGACCTGGTATCTGCATAATTGGATCGTATAATTTAGTGCTGAGATTCTGAGACAAATCCTTTTATAATATAATCATGATAATCTTATAATTCATGGACTTTATAATCAGGACCCAGTGACTTACAAAAATATAACATCAATGTTTGCAAAAGGAGGATTGATTTAAATATATTGTTAAAACATGCATAATTCAAAAAAATCATATTTTAGAGAATACATTTTGCTACCCTATCTGTTTTCAATGGCATATTGAAACCTGCTTTTTAAAGAAAAAATTTTCTCCCCACAAATCCAATATTGTAGAAATTGAATAAATATTTGAAGAATTAGCAATTTATCAAGTAGTATATGACTAGAAATTAAATGTAAACAAGAAAATATTAATTAGAAAATGAATATTAAAGCAATGGGCTAGCCTTCTGTATAATCTCCCTGTTGAACTTAAGATAAAGGTTTAAGCTTTAAAGATTCATTTTGACTCCCAGTAACTGAATTTGATAATTAAGATTAAGTTACTGGGAGTCAAAACTAAACATAATATTAAAACTAAGAGTAAAGGATTTTATACTTAATCTTAGCCAAAAGGCTAAGAAGCAACATAAGGGATTTTGGATGATAGGATCAAAGTCTCATAAGCAGAAAGATGGTATTTTTGTTGTTGTTGTTTTCAAGATGTGGGAGAGGTACCTCAGAGAAAGCATCTCTTTGGACACAAAGTATTCTCAGTAACTCCCTTTTACTATTGAGAAAACCAAGCCTTCAGCATTGGCAGGAACAAATTACTTTTGTCCGTTTTAGGTTACACTGGTCCCCTATCTCTATCCTGGCCTATCACCCTTGTATTTAAGAAGTAATAAGAATAGATGAATTTGGTGAATATGTACTATATTTCATATATAATCCATATCAGAAAAACTATATATAATTACAACTTTTTTCTCTTATTTTTAGGAGTCATAACCATACCTACTATTGGAACTGGAATGTTTTTAGGAGGATATATCATTAGAAAATTCAAACTTACCTTAGTTGGAATTGGCAAATTTGCATTTTTTAGTTCTTTCTTATCCTGTCTCTTTTACTCATTAAATTTTATTCTGATCTGTGAAAACAAATCAGTTGCTGGCCTGACCTTGACCTATGATGGGTATGTATACATTACTATATCAATTGTATAACATGTTAACCATCCAATTAAAAGACTTTGTGTTAGTACAATAGGGCAGAAAGCAATTTTACAAAACATTCTTTAATTGGGAGAAATTTACAAATTCTTAAAACATCTTTTTCTTAAGACCTCAAAAAGTGCTTCTATTCCTTCCCTTAAAAAAAGGAAAACAGGTTGTAAGAATATAACTATAATTTGTTGGATACATACAAGGAGTGGTAGATGCTTTTATCCCCATTTTATGCTAGGAATGTGGGGCTTAGGGAAATACACAAATAATAAGGCTAACACTATTAAGATCCTCACTTAAATTAAGTGTTTTTGACTCTAAAACTGAGCATTAACTACTGCCATCATTAATGGATCATAAGGGCAATAAAGGACATTCTCCAAAAGTGACTGAACAACTTTTATCTGTAGTTCATTTTAATGTTTGCCAACTATCTTTCTAAAAGGACACTTCCACACACAATTTACATTTTCTGCAAGCTCATATTATTTCTTCTGGTATTGTCCTCATTGAAAGTAGAATTAAGAAATATATATAATTATAGATTAGTCCTTGGACAATCTACTTTTCCATAATTAGCATGTATTGTAAAGTATTTTTAGTACTATAGTCTCTACTCTAAATTAAGGGCAGGATTTCTATGCCGACTTCTGATCATCTCCTGAATATTGCCAATAGCTTAAACTTAGAAAGGTTCACATTCATAGCAACAAAAACAGTACTAAAATAGCCTTCAGATCACAGTTCAGTAACTATGCCATTTAGTACTATTTTCTTTTAGCTCCAAGAGCCTTCAAACCCCGGATCCTGGGAGATATTGAATTTAACTTATCAATTTTTCCTAAAAGCCCTTATATAAACATCCTATTCTTGGAGGCTTGCAAACTAATCATGAATTATTTCCCCACCTGCTTCTAATCCTGAACTGTTATTGATCTTTCCCATACACCATCACCTACTCTATCTAACAAAACACACTGTACCCAGAACATTGAATTCTGGAAGTAAAAAAACAAACTTTAGAGATCGTGCAGTCAACCCTCTGAAATCCCTTTCTTTCGTATATGAGGCCCAGAGAAATCGTGACTTGTCTGAAGTCACACAATGACTCCAGGCAGACCCTATATCCTAACATCAGTTCTTAAGGTTTCCTGGTTGTCTGGGAAGGTTTTATCCTAAAGCCAGTTTCCTGAAAACTGGTATAGTAGTAATTACACTGTCTGTCTATTCAAAAGATCGCAGCAAGAGTTCCATGGGATTTTTTTTCATTTAATGAAGTTTTATTGAGTGCCTCCTTAAAGGTCTGGTTGGGGAAAATGAAAAGTGACTAAGCATTAAAAAATAACGTCATTAGCAAATCAAAATTCTCTATCTAATGAAAGGGAAACACTTGCTCTTCTGTCTTTTCTCTTTCCCTTCTCTTGTCCCTCCCCAGCTCTTCTTTCACTTCTCCTCCCCCTCCCCTCTTCCTCTGCTGTCTTCTCCTTCATCTGCTTCTCCTCCCCCTCCTTATGCTCTTTCTCATCCTTCTCCTCTCTTTGACATGTGTCTATCATGTATTTTCAGAAATAACCCAGTGACATCTCATGTGGATGTACCACTCTCTTACTGCAACTCAGATTGTGATTGTGATAAAAATCAATGGGAACCAGTCTGTGGGAACAATGGAATAACTTACCTATCGCCTTGTCTAGCGGGATGTAAATCTTCAAGTGGCAGTAAAAAGTCTACAGTGAGTATTAGTTTTTACTTTCTGTCTTCTTAATCAAAGTCACAGATTAGATTTAACAATTACCTAAAACTCTTTCTGTAACTAAGATATCCAGTAAAAGAGATAAAACAAAAGGATCCCAGTATTATCTGTGGCCTCAGTGGCTGTGATGTTGTACAATATAAACAAGGATTCATACAAAATCCTACCCAGGACACAATCAGGTTTTTCTGTTACTTAAATTCTACGTGGAGATTGCCCCACCTTTTCCCCTTGAGATTGTAAGACCTGTTAACATTTGAATGCATGTAAGCTTTCTAAGAAGCACCTCCCTTGACTGAAGAACATGATTTCTACTAAGTCGTTATTATTTACCTATCAGACGTTAGTGGAAAGTTCTGCGTTAATCCTTGGTCATCACTACCTACCTCACTATAACAATCTATGTGCAGATGTGTATATAGATTCAATGGTTGTAGCGCTGAGCTCTCTACCCTTTTGACTTTCTGGGAAATGAATCAAAGCTTCATGTTCACTTCACTGCCAAATTCCTTTTTTTTTGAGACAAAGTCTCACTTTGTCACCCTCAGTAGAGTGCTATGGCATCATAGTTCACAGCAACCTCTAATTCTTGGGCTCCAGCTATCCTCTTACCTCAGCCTCCCCAGTACCTGGGACTACAGGTGCCCACCACAACACCCAGCTACTTTTAGAGGCGGGTCTCACTCTGGCTCAGGCTGGTCTTGAACCCCCGAGTTCAGGCAATCCACCTACCTCAGCCTCCCAGAGTGCTAGGATTACAGGCATGAGCCACTGCACCCTGCATACTCCCTAATTCTTGACTGCCAATTTTGATTTCCCCAAAGCTGCCATTTCTCCCATGAGGATAATTTAATATCCTGCTTCACCCTCCCTCCTGGTTCATCTTACAAGGGTACATGTGAATCTTTCTAAGTGTAGAATACAAATGCCTTAATACAATAACTAAGAAAAGGCTTAGTTAGACGTGAAGGCTACGTTAACCAGTTTGATGAAAACATTTCAAATTGTATATAAAAACAGCACATTGTACCCCATGACTGTATTAATGTACACAGCTATGATTTAACAAATAAATAAAATAATAATAATATCCTGCTTCACCTATTGCCAACATATCCCATAAAAATGCCATTTCTATCTTCACTCCAAACATTTCTTCCTATGTGAAGTGTAGGTTCTCCCCAATCTCCTGAATCATTCCCAGTAGTTGGGAATCAAATATGATGTCCCCCATACCTGTAACCCACTCAACATCTCACAAAGTTGAGTAACTACTTCTCAGGCTCCTCTCCCATAACCAACATTAGTGACACAATCAGGTCTGATTATTGCTCTCTGCCACACCATTCTGTTTGATTTTCAAGCACTTTCCATCTTTCCCTTGCCCATTGTCCTACCAGTTGTATTATGGATAGGCATGGAGAACTCTGAAGAATAAAAGACCCTAGGTTTTTTGAAGATAGGACACAACTTTAATAAACTTGCACAAATATGGCCCCCAAAGTATAATTAAAAGCACATATTTCACAGTCATGGTTGTAGTACTTTTCACTGGGGGATTCCCACTTAATCTATGTCCCACTCTGTCCCCTAGTGTAGACTTCCAAGGAAAGCCCTGTCTACCAGGGAGACATCTTCTTAATACTGGCAATGCCATTTGAAGGATACTGCAAAGTTCTTTTACTAAATCTTTAGTAATAAACCATCTTTTCGTAAAACAATGTTCTTTGTACCAAAGTTTGGTTTCATTGTCCATATGCTGGAACCATAAAGGATTCCTCCATAATATTCTTAGTGAACAAAGAAAGTAAAAAACTTAAAAAAAGTAATCTTGGGAGAACCATACAAGGATGGATTCAAACTCTTCTACAATTCCCCCGAGTAATTGGTCTTTAGCCCTAACAGCTTCAAGGTGAATTTCTCTTAAACCTCAATTTGTTCTAGAATAAGCACCACTTTTATTCTATTTTATTATTATTATTATTATTATTACTATTATTATGCAGTTTTTGGCTGGGGCTGGGTTTGAACCTGCTACCTCCAGCATAAGGGGCCAGCGCCCTACTCCTCTGAGCCACAGGTGCCACCCAGCACCATTTTTATTAAAGCCACCTATCTACATAAATCTCCTGCTGGATAAGCTTCTAAAATTATTTGTTCATAAGTTTTCTCCTTCTGTGCTCTGTTTGTTGAACCTCTTTGGTAAAAAACAGCATCTATCTGATTATCTGTCATGCTCTTTAATGTTTTGCCTGCTAAAATAGAACTCAAACACCCCTGTTTGGCTTTATCTTCCCTAAACTTTGTTCTATTCTCATGGGTGGCTTTAGTTCCAGATTTGGGCCTCTCCTAAACAGCTATGTTTTCTGAATTCTTTGGGTCATCCTTCCCTGCAGCAGTCTCTGACAGTTAATAGGCATTGCTGAAGAGGCTAAATAAATGTGCTATTGACAGTAAAAATAAGTAGGAGAAAAATACTAAAAAGAATTTATATGAACAAGAAAATTATATACAGAGTTTCAGACACTAATTTATTCACTTCATTTCTAGTTTTAAAATTGAGAATGACTTAAAGGTTAAGAGTGAATGACTTTGTCTAGGAATCCATGAGACCGTTGAGTCTTTCAACTAGTAAGCAACTGTACTTTTAGAATTTGTTAGAACTATACATCTTTTAGTTTGAATGAATGAAATTTGGTTATATATAATGGAATGCGTGTATAGACTTGCTGTGTTTTATAAATGTATTCTGTGATATTTTTAAAACTATTTTTTAGGTATTTCATAACTGTACTTGTGTGGAGGAAACTGGTTTTCATAATAAAAATTACTCAGCCCTTTTGGGCGAATGCCCCAAAGAGGATGTTTGCACAAAGAAATTTTACATGTATATAACAGTGCAAGTCTTGAATTCTTTTTGCTCTGCCCTTGGAGCCACCTCCATTGTCTTGCTAATTGTTAAGTAAGTATAACCTTTTAAAACATTTTTATGTATATTAAATTATAAATACACCTAATGATATACATAGTTTGTCATAACATACATGGAACTCAAACTGATACTGTGTTACACTTTAATTTTCTGAAAATGCATTTTCTTAGAATTATAGTGATCCTTAATGCCCTACTTAATCATTCTCGGATTCTTCCATCATGAAATCTTGATTCCATCCTTTCTCCTCTTACTAAGATTCTTTTAACTTAAGTTGCCTGGCATCTTGTTGGGCTTATCATGGTTAATTATCTATTGATTTCCTTGAAAAAAAAATCAGATATAATCAGACATAAATGTAAACTCCAGTCTCTAATGAAACTCCAAAGCTTTTAATCTACTCATAGCATGGCTTTTTGCCTCGTCTTCCAGCATGTAATCACAGGTAAGTATATCAGGGTGGCTCATGCCAGCTGTGTGAGAGGACAGAGGAGAGAGGATCCCTAGAGGAGTCTGAGTCCAGACAAGGCAATATCGCAAGACCCCATCTCTACAAAAAATCGTAATCTAAAAACTTGCCCAGGCATGGAGACATGTGCTGATAGTCTCAGTTACTCGGTAAGAGCAGGAGGATCACTGTGGCAGCAGTGATCTATGATCGCAGGAGTTTGAGGCTGCAGCAGTGATCTATGTATGATTGCACCATTATATCACTACACTCCAGCCTGGGTGATAGAGCAAAAAACCTTATCTGGAAAAAAAAAAAAGAGGAAGAAAACCTAAGTTGGCGATTGAGATGTGTGGCTGTGTGAAGTGTGAGGGAAGGGAGATTCAGAGAATGCTTCTCAAAGAAATGGCATTGGAACTAAGGGTCTAAAAAACAAACCAGCCAAACAAAGTGCTTTTGCATGTAAGAGGAAAACTCTACTCAATGCAAGGTGGTGGGCAGGGAAGGAGGGAGCAGGAAGAGGGTGAGTGTGGAGGATGGATGCTCCAACTTAATAGGCACAATGTTAGGGTGTATGACATACCTCCTGGAGGCAGGACACAATTATAAGAGGGGCTTTACTTAACAAATGCAAACAATGTAACCTAATTCATTATA